GACATTACACTCATCGATACCTTTCATTTGAGTACCCACAGCAATTTTTCATATATTTTATATATGTATATATGAAAAATATATCAAAATGCATGTGGGTAATCAAATGAAAGCTCTTGATGAGCGTAACATCAGAATGAGCTTACATCTTTAAAAATATCAGTTATTAAGAAATGATCTTGTATTTTTGTCAACTATTGACATTTTTAAAGAAATAAGCTTATCCCGATATTACACTCATCGAGACCTTTCATTTGGGTACCCACATCAATTTTTCATATATTTTATATATTTCACAAATACCATATATATAAAATATATAAAAAATGCCATGTGGGTACTTAAATGAAAGGTCTTGATGAGTGTAACATCAAAATGTGTTTATATCTTAAAAAACGTCAATAATTAAGAAATGACCTTGTATCTTGTGAACTATTGACATTTTTAAAGATATAAGCTCATCCCGACATACACTCATCGAGACCTTTCATTTAAATACCCACATCAATTTTTCATATATTCATATATATTATATATATGTATATATGAAAAATTTATCAAAATGCATGTGGGTACTCAAATGAAAGCTCTTGACGAGTATAACATCGGGATGAGCTTATATCTTTATATACTTCAATATTTAAGAAAGTACAGTGCAATTCAACAAAAGTCATTATTTAATAAAGCAAAATTTCATTTATTTATAGTTTACAAATTACGGCAGTCATATAGTGACTGCAAGGTTGCTAGTAAATAATTTATTAAATTAATTAATTAAAAAAATAATTTTAAAGAATTTAGTCTTGATTTAAATTTAAAAATTTTAATATAAAAAAACTTTAATCAATAATATAATTTATAAAAAATTAATTTTTTATTAATTATTTTAATTAAAAATTCCATTAATAATTAAAAAAATTAAATTTATTAACTAAAAAAAATTTTCTTTTTCAGACCAAAGCCGAGCTTTTACTAGCAGAAGAATTATTCGAGGACCTGAAGACAACTTTAACATCGTTTATGTCAGTGGTAGTCGCTAAGGAGATGAAAAACTTGTATGGTGAAACCTGGGAGCGCCATACGATAATCCGACCGCCTTGGACGGTGCTGACAGTCTTGAAGTGCGCGAACAAGCACTGGATAGCAGCAGTGAGTGATTCATTTGAGAGGCGAGCGGAGAGTATCTTAAAAGACCTGGTGCAGATCGTGACAGGTCTGCAGTACAGTTGTCAGCTGAAAGACGTCGAGACAATGATCCAACGGTTCCACGATCTAGTGGGTTGCTTGAAGGCAGTAAAGTACCCGAACATCCTCGAGAACGTCACAGAGGCGATCGAGGGCCTGAAACAGAAATTCAGGGACAGTCTCAAATTAATTTATCGCAATAAAGGAGATAACAAGCAAGAAGAAGAGTCCAAAGCCGCGCTGGCTTTCGGGTACTTTGAAACTGTGTATTTATTCGCTCGGGATGTTTGTGGGACCTCCGCGAGCCTTATGGGCATGCCTTTTGGTCTTGCATTTAAAAAATTGGAGTCGCTCTCTATTGAAGATGATATTAAGCAACTGAGGCCTGAAGTCGCGGGGAATTTAAACAGGTTGATGCAGATTCTCAGCACCGCTCTGGATGATATTGATCATCTGCATGTTGATCATCCCTCGGTCCTGGCTTTGCACCAGGTACTCACTGGATTTTTACCCGAGTTGTTGAAAAGTGATCACCAGCTGATGCCTCAGGATGTCTTTTTGTGCTTGAAGTATAAACAGGAGGTTCTTAAAAATGGCCTTGGACAGTTGCAGGATTTAAGTGGATATTTTTGCAGGATGGCTACTTTTAAGTGTCTGTAATTATTATATGATTTTTGGGCGGTTAATTTTTTGATAATTGATGAAAAAATTATTTGATAGGGTTTTTTTCCTTTTTTTTAAGTTTGTTGGAAATTTTTAATACTAAAGCCGATAAGCGTTTGATTATTTTTTTTTTACTCAAAAAAAAATTTTAATTTAAAAACTACTTGAGAAAATTTTTTGATTTTTTTTTTTTTACTATTGATAAAAATATTTTTTTTCAATAAAAAATGTATTCAGACCCTTGCTAATTTTAGTTTTATAAAAATTTAAACATAAAAAAAAAATTATGTATATTTAAGTAAAATTTTTCATAAATCTGGAATTGTTAAAGCTTTAATTTTTGATTTAAAGAAATTTTTTATTTAAGAAATAGTTTTTTAAAAAAAATTATTTACTAGTAATAATTTATTATTAGTTATTAATAAATTATTTTGTTTCGTTTGACAGAATTTTTTTTTTTATTTAAATGTCAAAAGATTAATCATTTATTATAAAAATTTAATAATTATTTAAAAAAGATATTTTTATCAATAATCTAAATTAAAGTTAATAAAAAAAAAATATATATTTTTCATCAATTACTAAATTTAAGCCTAAAAAAATTGTTGATTAATTATCGATTATTACTACAATACAAATTATATTTAATATATATATATATATATATTAATTTTTATATTGACCATTGAAAAATGTGTAAAATTTTTGCCGCAAATTCAAAATAACTTTATAATGAATCAAAATTTTTGATATTGTGACAAAAGTATTGGTCCAAAAAAAATTTTTTCAAATAAAAGTTACACAAAATATAATTTTATAAAAAAAAATATCTCAATTTTTTTTTTTTTTCGTAGGATTAATAATTTCATCGTAATTTCAAAAGTAAATTTTATAATTTTTTCAAAATTTTAATTTTTAATTTTGAAATTTCAGCGGAATTTTTTTTTTTAAAAATCAAGAAATATTTTTTTTATAAAATTAAATTTTGAACAATTTTTATTTGATAAATTTTTCATAGTACCAATATTAAAAATTAAAACAATATTTTTTAAAATTGCGGCAAAAATTTGGACCCTATATATATGATAAAAAAAAGTAGCTTTTTACAAATAAACTAATTACTTTGTAAAGTAAAGAATATTTTTCGTACGCGAAATAAATTTAAGTGAATATATGCAATCTTATTTATTTTTAACAATAATAACAATTATAATAATAAATGCAGTAGGTAAAAAAATCTAATTTTTATAAAGAAGAGGAAAGCCACCCTCCGGGGGTTGGAGCCAGTTGTCTTTAGCGTAGGTGGTCAGCTTAGTTTCAATAACATGAAAAGTGTATGCGTGCCGTGATTTATCGCTCTTGTTGGCTTTGGAGAAGTGGACAACCAGCCCGTGGAGAAGAATACAGGAGCCTCTGCGTACTGGGACTGCGCGGAAGTTACTGGCCGGATAACAAGGGGTTCCTCGGTCGTATATCAAGATATCTTTCGACGACTCGGGGTAATCTTTGTTCCTGATGTATCGCCGATGGACTCCGCTCTTGTGGGAACCCGGGGCGACCCACAAGCACCCGTTCTCTAGGGTCGCATCGTCCAGCGCTATCCAAAACCCGACTAGCTTCATCGGCTCCACGTGCAGGTACGATGCGTCTTGGTGAGCTATCACTTTTATTGTCAATTAAATTATATGATTTATTATTTGGTGATATAGATTTTTTTTTTTTTTTTTTTTAGGTGTTAGTACCTTCTGAACCTAGTCCTGGATTTTTGTAGATGTACATCGACTGACAGACTGCTGGCTCTTGGAAGTTTAATTGAAATGCTGTTTCTTTTATCCTTTCATCAAATGTTACTCTTTTGAAAGTTGGATGAAGCCAGTGAAGTGCGTGGCCTACCTAATAATTATAATTATATTATTTAAAAATTTTTGACTATAATTATAATATTATACTAGCAACCTTGCAGTCACTACGTGACTGCCGTGACTTGTGATCTATGAATAAATCAAATTTTGCTTTATTAAATAATGAATTTTGTTAAATTGCACTGTACTTTTTTAATTATTGGAGTTTTTAAAGATATAAGCTCATCCCGATGTTACTCTAATCAAGAGTTTTCATTTGAGTACCCACATCAATTTTTATATATTTTTCATATATACATATATATAATATATATAAATATATGAAAAATTGATGTGGGTACTTAAAAGAAAGGTCTTGATGAGTGTAACATCGGGATGAGCTAATATCTTTAAAAATGTCAATAATTAAGATATATGTAATATATATATATATATGAAAAATTGATGTGGGTACTCAAATGAAAGGTCTTGATGAGTGTAACATCGGAATGAGCTTATATCATTAAAAATTTCAATAATTCACAAGATAAAGGTTCATTTCTTAATTATGTATCTAGAGATAGAGCATTTTCGAATGCAGCCTAAATACTTATCATCATAAATTGACTATCAGTGAAAATGATATGAAACATTGATAAGACACAATTCCAGGTCAAGACTTTTTCAACGATACCAAATTTATTCATAAAAATCCATTTTATCATATAAATACACTGGCCAAAAAATTTTGCTTATTCTCAAAAATATCTCAAAATCTTATTATTAAAAAATTGTTAATTATGATATTATTAAAAAATTTTTAATTTAATTAAAGTAACTTGAAATTAAAAATTTTATATTTTTTTCACAATTAATTATCAAGAATAATTGTAACATTGTATCTAATTAATGTTAAGTATTGATTAGTACTCGAGTTGGTTGCTTACATAATATAATCTCTAATTAATTATTAGCTTTAATTAAAAAAAAATCGATGAGATAAAAAATATTTTTACCTTGTTTAATGATACTCTTGGATGAACTTTTAACTTTCCATTGTCTTCTAATGATTCTGACTCAAAAAAATAGCTTATTTTGTGAGCGCTGTCCATAAAATATTCATCCTTATTCTAAATAAAAAAATTAAAAAATTATGTTAATTGACTAAGTTAAAATATAATTAAAAAATGACAATTCTTGAAAAAAAACAATTAAAAGTTATAGTACTTGTTGAAGTTCAATAGTATTAAAAACTTTTCTCTGATTTTCTGGAGGTAGATTATTTGTAAAATCTTCGCCACAAGCCTTCATTTCTTCAACTTCTTCCGGAGAGAAGAAATCTTCGAGAACAACGTATCCATCTTTTTCAAGCTAATTTTATAAATATGAAATCATCTATTAGTGATCTTGGAATTAATATTAATAATTAATAATTTTTCTCAGGAATAAAAGTGACATTGATATCAAGGATTCATGAACAAGTAATGTAAAATTTTAAAGGTCGCTGAATAATTGCGTTGAAAATTGGTCAATAGCGTGGGATAAAATAGCAGGTGAGAATCATAAAGATCAAAATAAACTCACGATGAATGAGCAGAATAAAATAGGATTTCCTCATTCTCGCTATTAACATTTACTCGTTGTCTATTTTTATTATTTTAGTTAGCCGCGTTGAATTTTTTATTAGATTTTCAATAAAATTCAATCGTTCAAAATTAATAACAATTTTTTTTTTTTAAATAGACATTGAAGAAGTATAAAAATTTTATCAAATTGATTTATAATTTTTTTTTATTAATTTAAAAAGTAAAAAAAATTATTTATTGAAATAAATTAAATCAATATTAAATAAATTATTATTTTAGTATTGAATTAAATTTTTTTTTATTAATTTAAAGACTAATAAAATAATTTATTAAAATAAAAAAAATTACTAAAATTAACAAACTTAAATTATAAATTTTTTGAATAAATTATTGAAAAAAAAATTAGCAAACTTAAATTGTAAAAATTTTTTGAATAAATTGTAAAAAAAAAATTACATAAATAAATTTTAATAAATAATTATTTTAATATTAAATTAAATTTTTTTTACTAATTGAAAGAGTAATAAAACAATTTATTAAAAAAAAATTAGAAATTTTAAATTGTAAAAATTTTTATAATAAATTATAAAAAAAATTACATAAATAATTATTTTAATATTCAATAAAATTTTTTTACTAATTTAAAGAAGAATAAAAGGATGTATTAAAAAAAAATTAGCAAACTTAAATTATAAAAATTTTTTGAATAAATTATTAAAAAAAAAATTACATAAATAAATTAAAATGAATAATTATTGTAGTATTAAATAAATTTTTTTTTACTAAATTAAAGAGTAATAAAATAATTTATTAAAAAAAAATAGATTTTAATGAATAATTATTTTAATATTAAATAAATTTTTTTCTACTAATTTAAAGAGTATTAAAATAATTTATTAAAAAAAAGTTATCAAATTTAAATTGTAAAAATTTTTTAAATAAATTATAATAAATAAAATTTCAAATGTCTGAAGATTTCAGTATCAAAAATAAAAAAAACCGTGTTATTTAATTTGACCTTTAAAGTGTAAGTTCATGCCTTGAATTTTTATAAAAACAAACTAATCAACCCGGCAAAAAAATCCCCGCTTAATAAAATAAATAAATAAAGTAATTAATAAAAAAAAGTAACTAAACTCACCTGCAATTGTATGTCCTTCATTTCAATTAATAAACGAAAAAAACAAAGCGACTTCTTGAGCAAACACTCTCGTTAAAACTAAGCCGACAATACAATGCAGGCGTGAAAGTTTATTATCATAAATAATAATAAAATAAATATATCCTATCTATATCCTTGATATGAAAGTAAAGATGAATAGATTCAACTGTCCGGCGATTGACCGCGCTCGTTTGAGAGAAGGAAGTGATAGTGAGATTTTTCACTGCACTTTTCTTCTCGATATATTATTTATATAAAACGCTAATTTTATTTAGAACGTTAAACGGCGCGTCGATGTAATGATATGTGAGCTATGTGCGCTAAACTCACTACTATCATATATATTCAGAGCTGATGCGCGTGATCCACGTATGAGTAATTGAGATAGTGAGTAACCATCCTAACACATACTTACACTGAAGTAATATTAAAACATGTGCTGAGGATGTGTAAATCTCATATGTGATATGACTGCACATGTGTAATGAGATTTTTATACTTGGCACTTGTTTCTTTAGCTTTAGCTTTAGCTTTTGCTTCCGCTCTTCTTAAAAATACACTCTTATTTGTCATCTAGTATTATTAAGCGGCCAATCTTTGTTTCTTCTTCGCTCTTTTTCTTCACAGAAGTTTTCACAGAAGAGCTGATAAATTTATGGAATTTAATGTAATTTTTTTTTTTTTTGGTTGATAAATATACAGAGGAACTGTTGGGCAATTAATTATAATAATGAATAATTTATGGTAAAGTGAGGCTTTATATGACGAAAGTTTAAATTTTAATACTGAGCGCGTGGGCGTTTTTATGGTAGTAATATCTGAGAGCGTGTTTTTCTATATATGGGGCATGAGTATGAGTATGAAAACAAATATTTTTGTTGTGGATGAAATGTATCTGTAGTGACTGATAACCTTGATGACTTTTCTTGATTGTTTTTGTATGAATGTTGGCTTGTCTAGAGAAAAGTTTTATTGGGAAGAAGTTTGAGTGTTTTGAAGATTTGCAGTGAAAAAGTTTTTTTTGGATTTTAAATAATTTATTTTTGGGAAATTAGAATTTTTTTTGAGAAATTGAGTTTTAAAATTGGAAAATTTATTTTTACTTAAAAAAAAATTAATTATTTAAACAAAAAAAAAAATTAAAAAAATTCTTACAATGAATTTAATTTAAAAAAAAAAATTTATTTACTCAATTTTATAAATCAGTAAAATTTAAGTAGAAATTTTTAAAAATTAAAAAAATCTATTATTTTTAAAATGACATTAAAAAAATTATTATATAAAATTTGATTAAAAAAACATTATATTTAAATTTTGAATCAAAATTAATTTTCAAAAATTTAAACTTTAAAACTTAACTCAGGAATTGAATTTTAAAATTCTTTAAAAAGTTTTTTTTTGGATTTTAAATAATTCATTTTTGGGAAATTAGAATTTTTTTTGAGGAATTGAGTTTTAAAATTGAAAAATTTATTTATTTAATTAAATTTAGCTAAGAAATTTTTTTTAATTAAAAAAAAAAATTAATCACTTTTAAAATGAATATCAAAAAAATTCTTATAATTAATTCAATTAAAAAACAAAAATTTATTTACTCAATTTTATAAATTCATAAAATTTAAGCTCAAAAATTAGAGTAAAAATTTTTAAAAATTAAAAGTAAAATTAATAATTTTTAAAATGACATTAAAAAAATTATTATGTAAAATTTGATTAAAAAAACATTATATTTAAATTTTAAATAAAAAATTTAAACTTTAAAACTTAACTCAGGAATTAAATTTTAAATTTCTGAAAATTGAAAAAAAATTAATTAGTTTCAAAAAGAAGAATATTAAAAAAAAAATTTCATATTAAATTTAACTCCAAAGTCAAAAAAGTTTATTTAATTTTACCAAAAAAAAAATCTCAATTTTATTAATTAAAAAAATTTTAACTCATAAATTAGTTAAAATTTTTTTAACTAAAAAAAAAGCTCAATTTTATAAATTTAAAAAATTTTAGCTCAGAAATTAGTCAAAATTTTTAAAAATAAAAAAAATTTAAAAATTTAACTCATAATTAGTAAATTTTTTTAACTAAAAAAAAAGCTCAATTTTATAAATTTAAAAAATTTTAGCTCAGAAATTAGTCAAAATTTTTAAAAATAAAAAAAATCAATGTATTAAAATGAACAATATCGAAAAAAATTTTGATATGAAATTTAAATTACCAAAAAAATTTATTTAAACTTATTTAAAAAAAAAAAATACATCTAAAAAATTTGAACAAAAAAATAAAAGTTAAAAAATAAAACTCCAGAGTTAAATTAACCTTGTTGCTTTCTGTGAAGACTATACATTACCTTTCTAATGAACTTTCAATCTAAAAAAATTCAAAGTACCCCAAACACAAATGTTCTCACCGCTGCATAAATAAAAATCATCATCTTCACTGCCAAAATTCCAAAAGACGCAACTAATTTTATTCCTCAGCAAAGCTAATTAAAATATCTAAAAGTTATATCACCCATATTCAGATTCGGATTGAAAAATCCAGTCTATCATCTCGACCGGCAATCTGAACATATTTGGAAGTAGTCTTAAGTATGTTGCGAAAGTAAGACACTAGACAAATCTAGAACGTAGGTTGGAGGTAAGTCGCCGGTTGCCGGTCGCCGAGTGGGATTAAATTATTTTCCTCCGACAACAACAACATTTATATTCACAAATTTAAAAACCGTAATCTATTATTTTGAATACTCGGTCAACAGAGATGACATCAGGCCCCGCATTAACATTTCTTCTCAAGATCGTTAAGTCCTACTCGCTCATTTTTACTCACAATTTACGATTTATTTTTAAAGAATCTTTAAACAAAACTAAAAAAATTTCTTCTTCTGTCAAAAATTCCGCAAATCACGGGCATTATTAAATTATTTGTTGGTAATTCTTTAAAATAATGATCGTTAGAGTGAGACAGCAAAAACCGGCATGCAAAGGTGGGGCGGAGAGACTGGTTTAGCAGATAGAAAGCCCTTCTTTACAATACCAGTATCTCTCATACCTCGCACCATCGACGGTCTGCATTAAATAGTCCGCTTAATTATTTATTTATTTATTTTTTTATTTATCTGTCAGTTTGTGCCTTTTATCATCAAGCAACTATTGTCGTTGCTTTTGTAATCGGTTGCACTTGTTCCGCAGTTACGGCAACAGTTGATGCCATTTAAACTCTGCTCAGAATGGTGCCCTATTTTTGTGTAATAACTGTTTGATACTTTTGTATACGTTGTACCGATCCAACAGCGCTGACATGTGACCTATTTATTGAAAAATTTTATCTGTTGAACTTTCAAATTTACTTTTTACTATCTTACTTTTTATTAAAAATTTATCAATTTTTTTTTATCTTGGAAATTACTTTTCAATTTAATTATTTTTTATTTTTTTATTAAAAAAAAATTATATAATTTTTTTTAGTCACCTTTTTTTTAATTTTAGCAATAAATTTTTGTTAATAATTATTTTATAAATTAAATTAAATTTTTTTACATTAAAAATTAATTAAAAAAAATTTTTTTAGTTACTAAATTATTTTTTTTAAGATTTTTGCAATTAATTTTTGTTATAAAATTATTGAATTTATTGAAAATAATTGAATAAAATTATTTTATTAATTAAATAAAATTTTTTTAATTTAAAAATAAATTTAAAATCATTGTTTTAATTACTAAATTATTTTTTTTTTAATTTTTGAACTAAATTTTTGTTATAAAATTATTTGATTAATTAAATAAAATTTTTTTACATTAAAATTTAATTTAAAAAAATTTTTTTAGTTGCTCAATTTTTTTTTTTAAGATTTTTACAATAAATTTTGATTTTAAAATTATTGTTATTAATTTAATAAAATTTTTTTACTAAAAAATAATAAAAAAAAATTTTTTTCTAAAATTTCTGCATTAAATTTTATTTCTAAAATAATTATTAATTTATTTAATTAATAAAATAAAATTTTTGCAATTAATTGTTGTTGTAAAATTATATTATTAATTAAATTAAATTTTTTTATATTAAAAATGAATTTAAAAAAATATTTTTAGTTAAAAAATTATTTTTTTTTAAGATTTTTACAATAAATTTTGATTTTAAAATTATTTTTATTAATTTAATAAAATTCTTTCACTAAAAAATAATAAAAAAAAATTTTTTTCTAAAATTTCTGCAATAAATTTTATTTCTAAAATAATTATTAATTTATTTAATTAATAAAATAAAATAAAATAAAATTTTTATATCAAAAATAAATTTTTAAGATTGTTTTTACCTAAAATTTAATATTAACTATAAAAAATTTTATCTATATTTCTTCTTAGTTAATTTATAATTTAAAAAAAAAATATATTATCCTTAAATTAAGAAACAATAATCATAAAAAAATAAATATAATTTAAACAAATAAAAATTTTTTATTCCAGTAATAAATTAAACATAAAGTTTAATAATTAATTAATTAAAAAGAAAAAAAAAATGGGCCAAGTGTGGTGTAAAAATAAAAATTGGAAGGAACAGGATACTAATAAATCTCCATTAGACAGAGTTTTTTTGCGTTGTGCGCAACGAGTAAGTATTAATTACACTAATTACAATTGTTATCATCATAATAACATCAACAATAATAAAAATAATGATAATTGTTATTACCACAAAGTATATTTGATATTTTAATAGTTAGTATTTAAAACATCGCATGATGAATAAAAAACGCAAATAAATTTTTCCATAAGCGGGGATAACGAGTTCCGTTAGTTTGCTTGTAAAACAAGAAAAACAAAGCAAACTTTTGATTTTCAGCATTTAATCGGGAAGTTGCGCAATTTTTATTACAAAAATTCGAGTTGCATAAAAATTGTCAGCTCCAGCGATTTGTGTCCGGCGCACAGAATATTCTTCGCTTAATTTAAACTAAAAAAAAAAAAATTATATTTCATGAAGATATTAATTTGTTGATAGTTCGAGCTTAACAAATGACAATTATTATTAACATTAATTAACTGGGAGTTAGAGACCCGGCGATAATTGAAAATATTAAAAAGGAAGATTAATATGAAATGACATGTGTGCATATGATTGTACGTTTTTCGTCTCTGAATTGCACATAACACAAAATGTAACATGTTATGCAATGAAACACGATGCCATATGCAGGTTTGAGAGCATATGCATATGCTTCACTAGTGCATGTGAATTTATCTAGCGTAACGTCATTCTGCGCAATATCTAGAGCTCTTGAAATTAATTGAATGCTACACGCTGTTTATTCATAGAATATTTACTAAATACCTACGTGTATTATTTTGCGAACTTGAATAAGATATTGTCATTCCCAATTCATTGTTGTGTTATTATTTAAATTTTTTCATGCTTTTTTTTTTATTTTTTTTATATAAAATTTAAATCGGATTTTTATGAATTTTTGTTTTTAGATTTATCCGAGATTTAAAGATGATGGACTTAATGCAGCTACTCAGAGAGTTTCGAGGTATATTATCAGTAATATTTCTTCTTTATAAAATTTCTTCCTTTTTTTAAAATTTATTTTTTTTTTTCATTTTTTTATTTCTTCTTATTCAGAAATTTTTCTATTTCTTCTTGTTTGAGAATTTTTTTTTCATTTCTTCTTATTTAAAATCTTGTTATTTCTTTATATTTTAGGAAATTTTTTTATTTCTCATATACAGATATAAATCATATCCAACCTGTTAAAAAGTTTTTAAATAATTATTATTATTTTATTCTAATAAATTTATAATTCATAAAATTCTATTTTAATAAATTTACAATTAATATTTGAGTAATAACTATACTAGCACTACTATGTGACTGCCGTGACTTGTAAACTAAAAAAAATTGAAATTATGTTTTATTAAATAATGACTTCTTTTAAATTGCATTGTACTTTCTTAAATATTTAAATTTTTAAAGATATAAGCTCATCCCGACATTACGCTCATCGAGACCTTTCATTTGAGTACCCACATCAATTTTTCTTATATTTATATATATTATATATATATGTATATATAAAAAATATACCAAAATGCATGTGAGTACTCAAATGAAAGCTCTTGATGAGTGTAACATCGGGGTGAGCTTACATTTTTAAAAATATCAATAATTAAGAAATGACCTTGTATCTTGTGAACAATTGACATTTTTAAAGATATAAGCTCATCCCGATGATACACTCATCGAGACCTTTCATTTTTTATATATTTTATATATAATAATAATGTTTATTCATTCCTTATAGCATTCAGCTATTTTTTTTTTACAATTAATAATTTACATTTCATATATATCACAGCTCTGATTAAATGACAATTAATTACTCGATCTAATATAAGTTTTTAAAGATCTTTCAAATCTTTCTAATGTTCTTTCTTCTTTAATTTCATTTGGCAAACTATTGTGTACCACTGAAAGCCTTTATAAGTTATCGACTTTTCAGCAGTATATGTTCACGTATGGTTTATTTTTAACATTGATCCATTGCGCGTACAATATTTATTATTTTCGTTATTTAATTTTACATAATTTTGCAAATATCTAGGTGTAATTTTATTTATCATTTTGTACACTAATATTAAGGAATTGTACTTTAATCTTTGTTCGATGGACATCCATCCAAGAGTATCTAGCATTAGTTTAATTTTAGTATATCTATCAACCTCTAATATTGATCTCATGGCCCGATTTTGTAACTTTTGTAAAATTTCCATATGTTTTTTATCATAATTTATCATTACTGAACAGCAATATTCAAAGTGAGGAGCGATTATTGATTTATAAATCATGCTTTTTGTGTACTGTGTTACGGAGTTACCTAATCTTGAAATTATATTTATTTTAGATGCTACTTTTTTTATTGTATGTACAGCATTTTCTTTAAATGATAAATTATCATCAATTACTACACCTAAATATTTAGTATATGGTATTTGTGAAATATATAAATATATGAAAAATTGATGTGGGTAGTCAAATGAAAGGTCTTGATGAGTGTAATGTCGGGGTGAGCTTACATCTTTAAAAATGTCAATAGTTCACAAGATACACGGTCATTTCTTAATTATGTACCTAGAGACAGAGTATTTTCGAATGCAACCTAGAAACTTATCATAATAAATTTACTATCGGTGAGAATGATATGAAACCTTGAAAAGGCACAAATTCAAATCAAGACCTCTGCAATGATACTAAATTTCACTAACAAAAAACCGATTTTATCATATGACTATCCTAGAAACAAAATTTTTCTTATTCTCTTAATAATATAGATTTTAAGATTTATTCAATTTAACAAATTTCTTCTTAAAATAAATTTTTTTTCATCTTATTTCTTCTTACCTAAAAATTACCATTTAAAAAAAAAATCTAAGTATTAAAATTATTTCAGAGACACGGTAGTATTTGAACCAAGCACGCGTTCAACATATATGTAATTTATAAAAAGCGTGCATGCGCAATCTAAATTAATCTAGATCTAATTTATTATCTATCTTATTATCTAATTTATTATCTATCTAACAAAATAAAAGAAGCTAAGACTTTTCTTCGCTAAATCTTTCAATAAAAAAAAATTTCTTCCTGATTATTAAAAAATCATCTGTCCAAGTCTTCCTAGATGTAAATTAAATGAAGAATATAATTTCTACCATAATTCATAATAAATTAAATTTTTCAGTTCTGAAATCGGATATGCAGGATCACCTTCAACGAAGGAATTACTGCGAAGTCGCAGTATCAGTTCCGTGGACCGTCCATTCCAGCAGAGCGACTGGGTAGACGTTAACCTGGAAGTAACAACCCCGAAAACAGGAAATAAAAATAAAAACAATAATAACTTGACGAGCACGAACCGTTCATTAGACTTGTCACTGTACCAAGTAAAAACCCCGGTCCCGGCTTATAAGAATTGTAAAACTCCGCCGGTGCCTCCGCCCAGGAAGAAAAGACGTAAAAAAATACGATCATTACCCGCGTTGAAGATTAATGAACGTGCAAGTCGTAATAACATTGTTAAAAGTAAGAAAGATGTTGAAGGAAAAGAGAAGCGCAGGGAATTTTACGAACACAAAGTAAGCCATCTATTAAATAATTATTTATTAAATAAAAATATTGTTTAAATTTTATTAAATAAGGCTTGGAGATTTTTGATTAAGTTATTTATGGAAATAAACTCTTGTAGGTTAACGGGACAGGAGTAATAATTCCCAGCAAAGTTGTCTCAGGCTGGAAATCTGCAGAAGGACTATCTAGTCATAATCAAAAGTTACCCGAAATTAATAATACTTTTAAAGTTAATAATATAAGTACCAGTAGTTTGCCTAATTACGATCAATTTAAATTATCTCAACTTTCAAATGCTGAGAGTTGTAAAGATCAACTAAAACTGAGTGGAAATAAATCCCTCGAGAGTCTAAAGTATTGTAAATATCAAAACTCCTCTGGTGAGTCATTTCATAAAGTCACTTTGCGAGTTGCTTGTTTGTTAATTCTTTATTGTTAATTATTTGTTTATTCGAAAACTCCTTTAGGACGAAAGTTCACGGAGAAAACGTCTAGCAGGATTCCGGTTATGCAGAACAATGAAAATCTTAAATTTTTGGTCAAAGGAACTTCATCGTGTCCTAATAGGTTTATTTAATGTTTTTATTTATTAAATAAGTTCTGTAATTTTTTATGAAGAAATAATTTTTTTTATTAAATGTTTTAGGAATTCTAATAAATATCAAGAATCGAGGCCAGAAAGAAAAAATAAAGAAAACGAACGGAATTACTATTCGCTAACTGGAGACTTTGATAAATTCAAACAACGAGATGTAAATTATTTATTTTCACCGAACGAAATTACCACGTCACGTTCTCATCCGTTTTTAAATAACGAAAGCACTAAAACTGGTAAGTTTTTTTTTTTTTTTTTTTTTTTTCGTGTGATTGTTTAAGTTGGGTGCAATAAAGTAATAAAAATACCTGGGAAATAAATCTTGTCTAAGTTACAGAAAAATCTGTTGAATTTACAAGGAAAAAAATGTACAATTCAGATTAAACAAAAAAATTTTTATTTTATATGCAAAAAATGGAAATTTAGCATTAGAAAATTTTTTTTATTTTACATGGAAAAAATGTAAATTCGACATTAAAAAATTTGTAAATTTTCAATGGAAAAAAGTGTAAATTTTACATTAGAATACATGTAGATTTTATATGAAAAAATGTAAATTTAACATTAGAAAATTTGTAAATTTTCAGTGGAAAAAAAATGTAAATTTTACATCTAAAAAAAATTTTAATTTTACATGTAAAACATGGAAATTTATCATTCAAAAATTTGTAAATTTTCAATGGGAAAAATGTAAATTTAACATTAGAAAATTTGTAAATTTTCAACGGAAAAAAGTGTAAATTTTACATTAGAAAAAGTTCAAATTTTACATGGAAAATTGTAAATTCAACATTATAAAATTTTTAATTTTACATGGAAAAAATGTAAAATTCACTTTGAAAAAAATAAATTATATAAAATCAAACAAAATTATATATGTTTTAAATTTTTTTACATAATATTATATATTGTATAATTATATAAAAATTTTTTTCTTGGATATTTTATTCTTACATATCCATACCTGTTAATTTAACATTTTTTTGTAAATATAAGATTATTTAACAATTAATTTTTTTCATGTAACTAGGGTAAAAGACCCCATTACTGACACTTTCTTTGATTTTGGTACTTATTCAATTAATAAAATTATTCATTTCAATAATGAATATATTATTTTCAATATTTAAGACCTTGAGATCAAAAAAATTTTTAATTTTTATTCCAAGTAGAACATTTTTTCATTGAAAAAAAAAGTGCCACTAGTAGGGGTTGAAGGTGCCACTAAAGGGGTCTTTTACCCTGTAATAAAATAGATAATAAAAGACACTGAAGTTAACTAAAATTAAAAATTAAATAATTATGAAAAAAATTCTACATCTAAAAATTTTTTGTTGTAATTTATTTATTATAAAAATTGTCAGCTAGCTTATCATAAATAATAAGTGTAATTGTTGGTTCAGATTACAACAGTGAATTCCGGCCGAAATTAATCCTAAGGCGAGTCCATTCGGACGACAACGGATCATTAGACATAATGTCAAGATCAGAAGACTTTGTCACTAAATCGATATCCGAAGAATCGCTTCCCAGCGCGCTGATGGAAGACGATGACCTCAACTTATTCGAGGACAATACCAAGGACCCGGTCAAAAATGAGATCACGAAAATTCGCGAGGAGCTCGAGGCAGTGACTAATGAAATAAAAACCCCGCCGCGGAGCCCTCAGCTCGCAAAAAACTCCACCAAGCTCAGGCTTCCAGAAGTTTACGCGGACAAAGAAAATATTAATTCGATGACTCCTAGTTTGAGCGAGTTCGAGGCGACGCTCTCGGAGCTCCTGGAGAACAATACCCGAGAAGGTGTTGATGGCAAAAATCTCGGCGATTCTAACTCCGACTCCGAGCTGGGTCGGGATAATAATTTTAAGAGTCAGAGTCAGAATGTCAGTCTGATAAATATTCCAGCTCCGCCGAGGAGGAAGAGGAGGAAAACCCTCAAGTCTAATTCTGATGACTCGGGGTTTGATTTTTATGTCGATAGACTTATTTAAGTTTTTTTGACGGTGGAAAATTTTTTAATAATTAAGAATTTTTTTTTTTTTAATTTATTTAAATTTTTTCCACGAAAATTCTAGAGGTGCCTTTGCAATAAGAGTAATATATTGATTATGTTTAAATAATAAATAATATAAATAATTTTATTATTATTATTATTAACAAAAAATATTAATTGTTAAAAATCAAATTTTAATTAAAGATTATAAAATATTTTATGTAAATAAAAAAAATTATTGAAATGCATGAAAAAAATTTTTTTTAATTTATACAGAGTTATATTGTAGATAGAATAATTAATTTTTAAATAAAAAAAATTATTTAATCTAGAATAAATTTGTTATAACATCTGCAGTAATTAAAAAATTATAGATATGACTACAATAAATAGGACCAAGATTTTTTCCTTAATTTTAAAATAAATGGCATAAGTATTTAATATCACGGCGAAAATATTGATCTTATAAAATAAATAAATTATTAAAAAGTTTTGACAAAATTAGTGTAATTTTGTAATTTAACGAGGCGTCAAGATAAATTGCCAGGTTTTGCCGTATTGAGCAGAGTAAATAAAATCGTACATAGTGTAGTGCAGGGAAGGATAGAAGGATAGTAGAGTAAAATGTAGGGGCTCGGATGGGTTACAAGTACAGCGTTGTGAGGCGGGTAAAGGGTAAAGGGATAACTAAAGCTCGCGCATTCGCCAAAGGAATTTATAGAGTCTACCAACTATTTAGATAGGCTGTAGGATAGACTCGATTCACATTGGGGTGATTTCACCTTTTTGTCTCTCTGTTCTCTTTCTCGATTCTCTAAATAGCTGATACTAATACTCCCTGCAAAAACACATTTTATTTTATTCACAAGTGACTTGTAAATATTTTTTTTCGGAATTTTTTTTTAGGCAATTGCTGGAGATTTTACGAGTTGAGAAAAAAATTTTATTTACTCTAAAGGATTTAAATAATTTTATTTTATAGTTATTTATTAAGAAAAAATTTTATTTATTTAAAAAATAACAAAAAAAATAAATTTATGACTTGAAGACTTGAAAAAAAAATTTTTAATTATTTTAAAAGTACTAGCAACCTTGCAGTCACTATGTGACTGCCGTGACTTGTGAACTATAAATAAATAAAATTTTGCTTTATTAAATAATGACTTTTGTTAAATTGCACTGTACTTTCTTAACTATTGACATTTTTAAAGATATAAGCTCATCCCAATGTTACACTCATCAAAAGCTTTCATTTGAGTACCCACATCAAGTTTTCATATATT